TATTGACTAACTACATATTAGCTAACTAAGTATTGACAAACTACATATTAGCTAACTAAGTATTGACTAATCAAATATTGACTAACTAGATATTAGCTAACTAAGTATTGACTAAACTACATATTAGCTAACTAAATATTGACTAATCAAATATTGACTAACTAGATATTAGCTAACTAAGTATTGACAAACTACATATTAGCTAACTAAGTAATGACTAACTAGATATAAGCTAACTAAGTATTGACTAATCAAATATTGACTAACTAGATATTAGCTAACTAAGTAATGACTAACTAGATATAAGCTAGCTAAATATTGACTAATCAAATATTGACTAACTAAATATTATCTAACCAAATTTCACGATTTTTGTTGGACATGTTAGGAGTTGAATTTGGTAACATAGAAAAAATCAGGTATATCTTAACTGAATGAAATATTATATGAAAATGTAACCAGACACCATATAAATTGAAGGTTGAAATAATTTAGGCTAAATGTTTCACAACTAAATGAGTGTTCTATTTTTATATTAGTAATTACTGCTTAAAAACGGAAACTATAATTTTTCTTCCCCCAGTGTTGATAGTGTGCTATGATTTATAAATTATTCGTGGAATATGATAAAAGTTGGAGCACAATGTACTTTATTACATGTTTATTCATTCCTTGAATAATAAGCATTCACTCGTTATTACTTTATTATACATTAGAAGATAATCCAAAAAAATCTATAAGCTATATCAAATTATCGTCTTTATTCTCTATATAAATAAACAGCTTACAGATTAATATAAACTGGTGTTCCCGAATTTTGGTATATCAATGTCAACTTGTCTCAACTTGCCGTTTGCTACCCAACTTCAGCTCGTCTGAATATCGACAATGTTCACTTGTAAGAGCGAAACATGTTCCACTGAAATAAAACGTATCATGCAATGTTTGGAGAATTCTCGAGCTTCTTTTATACAAACCTACAACCATCTAGTGAAAGAGCTCACTTATTCTTCTCCACAAAAGGGAAATGCTAATTTATAGATGAGTGATTTTTGTATTCCTAGGCATCTCATCCATATAATGAAAGAAAATATATTATTCTTATAGTACGTTTGAATGCGCATCTAATTTTAATCTGTGGGTAAATTGTGCTCAAGATTAAAATTAATTTATTTCTTATACATACTATAAGTGTTTCCTAAATATTACAATGATATTATTACTGTATTCTTCTGAATCATGCAGCGTAGAATAACTACAAGATTGATAGGAACTTTGAACAAATTGATTTTAAATGACTTAAGAACAAAGAGATATCTTTATCAGTATGTTTGTTACATTTATTACTCCCAACGTTTATTAAAAAAACAATAAGTTATGATTGATAATTGAAAATACTGACCTTATAGTCTAATTTTATCTATTTTTAACTGCAGAAAATATATTTGTAATTTTGTTACTCTTGTAACTGTTGAGTCTTTATTTAATTTCTTGATAATGTTTGAAATATTATGAACATTATCTTTTTAATTTAAAATTAATATCTCATTTTCGCTACCTGTTTTGTAAAGGTAGCAATTGTTCAAACATGTTATCAAATTTCAAAACAATAAAGACAAGTATGCATCAAACTGCGAAGAGATAAGAATAAGTCCTAAAGATAATTTATATACTAAATCATTAACTTTATAAGAAAATAAACTGGATATTAGATCATCATGTTTGTTTATTAACTAGTTTTCATGTTGTATAGTTTGTTTGTTTTGAATTTCGCGCCAAGCTACATGAGGGCTATCTGCGCTAGCCGTCCCT